ATGAAGATCGCTGTCAGAAAATTATATGGGAAATGTCATCGATCGTCATTTCATAGCCATCGCTGTCGCCGGTTTTATCTTGATATTTTCAGTGAAAGTGAAAGCTAGTTCTAGACAATAACAAAATATTTAGCAACGTTAGGAAACATTCATATAGCACCAATGTCAGTGGAAAACATCATGTTTGAGCTTCTCAACGGACAAGCGGCTTTCGCTAGTACATAAACCCTATGTTTTAGGGATTTATATTGGCTTATAGAGTTGATAACAGACACAACTATACAGGATTTATTATAGATGTCCTTATGCATGACAAGCTTAAAATTATTTTACTAGATGTTCGAAATACACTTCTTGATAGCAAATTCCACACAAAAATAAATTTAGTCAGATTCAATTTTACTCTTCTATAACTTTTAAAATAATTTTTCGATGTTGGTAAAACTTTTTATGTAATGTAGACCAGTGTCTTAAAAAAATCTAATAGTCAGTGTTGCCAAGTCAGTAGAAATCCTACTAAATCTAGTAGGTTTCACAGAAGTCTCGGTAGTGAATTCTGAAATACTTTAAATACAAAAAAAAACGAAAAAAAAACCTATTTTATATATTAGAAAGTTTGACATAAAATTTTGAATACCCTGTATGGTTTAAGATTACGATATTTATAGCAAAGTTAGTACAGACCAACTGTAGTAAATACCTAGTATAGTTTTGATTTCAGCACATTTCTTGCGTGTATTTTTAATATTTTTTTTAAAAAAGGCTGATTTCTTTTTAATTTATTAATGTTTTTGAAGCTTTCTATTAAAACAAATTTAATAATATCTTAGGATTATGTAAAGTGATTAGAAAGGAAGCCAAAAATGCAATATTATACAGGGTGTTTCGTTTAAAAACTGAACAACTGAATATTATTTAACAAAAAAAAAATGAAACCTGCAAACACAAGCGCTCTTTTCAATTTTTCGTTGATAATGAATCAGTAAAACTGCTTTAGTGAGACTGACTGACATGTGAGAACCCGCCTTAACATCCGAAGATACGTATCTAGATATTGGAATATGTTTTACGAAAATTGGTTAACAATTTAAAAATTTAGAGGGCTCTTAAGCTGAGTAAAATTATTTTTCGCTGGAATTTATTATCGAAATACATATAAAAACATTATATGTGTTTTTCTCGTAATTTTACAAATTTTAAATTTGTTTACTCCAATAATTTAATAATAAAATTTTATACCCTTGTTTCATATAAAACTTCAGATATTTTAAACGCGAAAACAAGATAGAATTATTTATTTTATCTATACGTTCCCGAGTTTTATTTCAATATTTTAATGAACAAGAGTTTTTAAACGAAAAACAGGAAATGTAATGGCGCTTTAATTTTGATTTAAATTTCATTAAAAATATTTTCTAAAAGCTTTTACATAATGGATTCAAGTTTGTTAAAAAATACAGAATAACAAACAAAAAATGTAATATACAAAGTACCATGTGAATGCGATAAATTTTACATTGTTGAAACATCTACAGTTGCATGAGACATGACTAAAACATAACAGTAAAAAATTAGTCATGTTTCGTTCAGAATACAGTCATTAAAACCTTAGTCATGTTTTAATCTTACTGTAGAAGCTTGCCCAATAAATTCTTTCTTCTTTTTTGTATGATCCCGATAACATCTTTTGTTTACTATTTTATATCTTTATACACGCAAAAATTTCTAAAAACATATGCAGACATTTTTAGTGTAACTAACCTAAAGATATTTTCAGATTTTGGATCTAATGTTAATCAAGGAGGTCCATTTGGGCGGTAGGGACCAGGAAAAGACGCGGAACTGGCAATGGTGGCCCGCAGATACGGACTCAGCCATCAGCCCGGGAACGAATGCGCTTTTACCATTCTGCATGGCAACGGACTCAGTGATAACAGACTTTTCTATGTTATTTGTCCACCAGCTGAATGCAGGTACAGAAGAATTATATTATAGTAAATATACAGACCTTGTATAACCAATAGTCGACGAAAAAATTAACTGATCATGGTTTACATCTAAAGTAATCATAAAACAATTTCCGATGCGTGGTCAACTTTGAGTGACAAGCAATGGCGACAGCAGTGCAGATTGTGATGGTTATGAGATTAATCTTAATGTAAAATTGGGAAACAATATATTTATTATCATTTTTAAAGATTTTTTACGTTTATTTTAATTTAATAGTTAATATTTTGGTAATCAATTTATTTATTAGCAGTATATATTATGTTAGGATTTTAATCAGATTTGGGGTGTCTATGTTTTGCTAAGTGCATCAACAATATTTTACAAAGCATCGATGTTGAAGAAGGTAACATTTTCTGTTCATTAAAATGTTGTATTATATTTTATAGGGCTTGTTTCTCTCTACAATTTCCTGTGTCACAATGTACCGTTTGTGTCCGGGAAGGGATCATAGTTTCATAGTTGTCGATTTCCGGAAGAAATCAGTACATGTATATTATTACGTATATTTTTCATTTTATTGATTTTATGGAAAGCTTTTGTTCATTAAAATGTTGTATCCTATGTTATAGAGGCTTGTTTCTCTCTACAATTTTCATCTCACAATGTACGTTGTGTCAGGAAGGGTTCATAGTTCATAGTTGTCGATTTTGAGAAAATCAGTACATGTATATGATTTCGTATATTTTTCATTTTATTGATTTTATGGAAGCACTGTTCATTAAATGTTGTATCTGTTATAGGGCTTGTTTCTCTCTACAATTTCCTGTCTCACATTGTACCGTTTGTGTCAGGGAAGGGATCATAGTTTCATAGTTGTCGATGTTCCAGAGAAATCAGGATATGTATATTATTTCGTATATATTTTTGATTTTATTGATTTTATGGAAAGCACTGTTCATTAAAATCTTGTATCCTATGTTATAGGACTTGTTTCTCTTTACAGTTTCCTGTCTCACAATGTACCGTTTGTGTCCGGGAAGGGTTCATAGTTTCATAGTTGTCGATTTTTGAAAGAAATCAGTACATGTATATTATTTCGTATATATTTTTCATTTTATTGATTTTATAGAAAGCACTGTTCATTAAAATATTTATCCTATGTTATAGGGCTTGTTTCTCTCTGAATTTCCTGTCTCACATTGTACCGTTTGTGTCCGGAAGGATCATAGTTTCATAGTTGTCGATGTTCGAAAGAAATCAGGATATGTGTATTATTTGAGCCACTGTTTTATTGATTTTATGGAAAGCACTGTTCATTAAAATATTGTATCCTATGTTATAGGGCTTGTTTCTCTCTACAATTTTTCTGTCTCACAATGTACCGTTTGTGTCAGGAAGGGTTCATAGTTTCATAGTTGTCGATTTCCGAGAGAAATCAGTACATGTATATTATTACGTATATTTTCATTTTATTGATTTTATGGAAAGCACTGTTTATTAATACAACATTTTAATGAACAAGAAGAACAACAAATAAGACAAAACAAAATAATAAAGTATTAAAAAAGCTATTTTGTTCAAATAATGGCAAGACCTAAACAATGATTCCAAAGTTATAATGAATAGTAGCTTTAGTTAATTATTTATTGAAAATACGAAATAATTTGTAGAAATTAAATATAAAGGCGTTTTTATTTTTGTTGTAGGGTATGGTACAGTGGACTCTACTGGCTCATCCGTGGGATATCTCGTCTAAATTCTCTCTGTGATAAACGTTTGCTGTGGTTAAGGGAGCAATACCTGCAACTGTACCACGAGGATGGGTACTGTTGCGGACCACTGGCTGCGGATGCCATTCGGGTACGTCCAAATAAAATAATTTCGTAGTACAAAAATAATAATATTTTTACGAAATTCATCAAAAACTATAAGCGATACCATTTAACCTTTTAGTTACTTATTCGAGGGCACGATTTTTAAATTCATTGTTACCAATCATGGATATGTTTAGCGTCGGAGTGACTGACTGGAATTTAAATTTCCCGCTGGGGATTTAGGTGGTAACTCTGCTGTAAAAAATGTTAAGTTGCCACAGTTATTTATTTATTTCCTGACATTGTCGTTAGTTTTTGAAATTTTAGTTTTCTATTACGAATTTTTGGTTTAAATGAATCGTGTTGTGATATTTTAAGCATAAAATTTTTTACTAGCAGACCTTGCAGTCTTGTCTGTTTTAACTAACTTATATTTTTGTTTAGTTTAAAAAAGTGAGTAGAAAATATTTTTTCATTAAAAATACGTCTTTGCCAGAAATAAACATAAAAATTATTATAAAAAAAATGAGTGCGAGAAGATTTTAGAAAAAAACATTTTAGGAAAAAATGAGTTTTTATTTTTTTCATATTGTTCCACCACTTCAAAAAAATTCTAAAAAATTCCTGAGTGTAAAGAAGTGAAAGACATTTTCTGGCGATTTTTAGTGAGTGACATATTTCACAAAAATAAGATTTAATTTTCTTTCCGCCGCTTTTTATTTAGAATCATGATCATATTATTTTTCATGTTTTTGAAAACCTGGAAAGCCGTTTGAGTTAAAGAGCTAAAATGTAGCTGAATTATTTCGAGACCAAATCAGTCCCCTGAGTGCGAGTCAAAAAGCCATAGGGCAGATTTCCTGTATTAATCGGGCTATACTAGGAATTAGTAGTTCGTGAACGAACTAGTTCCAATGAACTATTCCGACCCCGGAATAAAAGGAACTAGTTCCTGGTTTCTCAAAGAACTAGTTCCTCAGGACCTATTCCGGGATCGAGACTGTGACCGATATAGAATAATATGCGACGGCGACGGATCGGCTAACGCGCGTAGCCCGATGGTAGGCAGGAGTGGGGAGTGCCAGCCGTACGTTATCGGATCCGGACCTAGAGGAACTAAACTAAATAAAAGACTAGTTTACGTACGAACGGATAGGGCCAGAGCGATCGATGCTAGGCAGGAGTGGGGAGTGCCAGCCGTATGCCGTATGTTATCGGATCCGGACCTAAAGGAACTAGAGGAACTAAATAAAAGACTAGTTTTTACTAAGGTTTTTACGTATGGATCAGCCAGCGTGATTGATGCTAGGCAGGCGTCGGGAGTGTCAGGCGTATGTTATCGGATCCGGACATAGAGGAACGATTAATAGACTAGTTCACGGGAATCTGTTGAGTCGGCAGATCCGAGATATAATACAAGGCGACGACGATGGATTCGGCCTTGTCTATTGCCGCAGCCGGCGCGGCGTAATTACCACAGAAAATTGTCGTGGATACTGTTTTTGATTTTTACTTTGTTTTTTAAATATTTTATGGGAATGTTTCACTTTAGGTCCCTAAAATTAAGAAATATCTTATAAAACGAAGTAGATATTCTGAGTTTTTAGACAAAAACAAAAAGCTTGAAGTGAGGAAAAATGCAATTTTTCGTAAAATTTTTGTAATATTTGCTCCAATTGATTTGTGATATAGTTTTTTAAATTCTGATTTGAGTTTTTTTTTTATTTTTTTATCTGCAATAAAACTTAACTATATGTTTTTAACATACACAATTACCCGTCTCGTTATATCTCCGTACATTATAAAAATTATACAGATCATACTGTAAATAGTTCGGACGGACAACGAAACGCATTAGCAAGCAAGGGGGATGTCAATGTTAGTCGGGAACTATTGTGAACTAAAGACCTAGTTCAAGGAACTATTCCTCTGGAGGACTAGAACTAAGGAACTAGTTTCTCCCAAGGAACAAATTCCCACCTATAGGCTATACCCTTCTATCAAACCATTAATAAAAAAATCCCATGTCTCCTGTCTCTGTAACATATTACATTATAGTCTAGTAATCTAATTTGCTTTCTACAGTCCAGAAAAATCACGTTTAAATTAGATTTATGACACTTCTCCCTTATTTCTAGTCGTTTGGCGGAAGAGATTGGTCTCTAGCCGGTAACAAACCCGGAAGTAATCAATCTGGCGAGACTTCCGGTGCCCTACATGAGAAGGTATCAGATAAAAAACAGATATTAAGCAATCAGGCCTTCAAAGTGAGCAAAGTAAGTACCGATAAAAATCGCCATTCGTTCATAAAAAAAGCAGCATTTTCATTGGAAATATTTTTCGTCATAAATTACGAAAGAAAATAAATATTTAATCTCGATAGTTTAAAATATTTAGGGTTTTAAAGCCAGTATTGGAGGATTTTATGGGTCATCATGGAAATTGTTAGCTATTACTTTAAAGTGGCCTGTTAGTTTATTTGGAGTAAACATAAAGCTGGGAAATTCATAAAAATTTACGGGTTTGTTCGTATATAAAATTTCATTTTATCACCCCTTTTCGCTGAAAGAGTTTTTAATAAAAATAATTAATAAAATTTTGTGTCCGTAAAGATAATTTTTTTTATTCAAAAATTTCCTTTACTTTATTTGTGATGGGCATTACGATTCTTCTTAGTGAATCGAATCACGCGATTCAATTTCTCATAATGAATCGATTCTTACGATTCGTTCATTTGAACAAACTACATACACATTTTGCGTATTACAATATAAATATAGATCTATGCTGGCCACGATTGAATTGAACGAATCGTATTGTATCAATGAATCAATTTTCACAATTCTTTGAACGAACGAGCTGTAAAGACTCTTTATTACGACTCGTTCGTTCAAATTTTATGGATCCGTGCTGGCCACGATTCAATTGAATTAACCGTATTGTAAGGAGTGAATCAATTCTCACGATTTTTTGAACGAACAAATCGCATTGTGATCCGATTCAATTCTAAAGACTCTTTATTACGACTCGTTCGTTCAAATTTTATGGATCCGTGCTGGCCACGATTCAATTGAACTAACCATATTGTAAGGAGTGAATCAATTCTCACGATTTTTTGATTGAACAAATCGCATTGTGATCCGATTCAATTCCTACGACTCTTTTTTACGACTCGTTCATTCAAATTTTATGGATTCGTGCTGGCCACGATTCAATTGAACGAATCGTATTGTAGGCAATGAATCAATTTTCACGATTCTTTGAAAGAACGAACTGTAGTAACTAATGAGTCGCATTGTGATCCGGTTCAATTTTAACGACTCTTTTTTACGACTCGTTCGTTCAAATTTTATGGATCCGTGCTGGCCACGATTCAATTGAACGAATCGTATTGTAGGCAATGAATCAATTTTCACAATTCTTTGAACGAACGAGCTGTAGTAACTAACGAGTCGCATTGTGATCCGATTCAATTTTAACGACTCTTTTTTACGATTCGTTCGTTCAAATTTTATGGATCCGTGCTGGCCACGATTCAATTGAACTAACCGTATTGTAAGGAGTGAATCAATTCTCACGATTTTTTGAACGAACAAATCGCATTGTGATCCGATTCAATTCCTACGACTCTTTTTTACGACTCGTTCATTCAAATTTTATGGATTCGTGCTGGCCACGATTCAATTGAACGAATCGTATTGTAGGCAATGAATCAATTTTCGCGATTCTTTGAACGAACGAACTGTAGAAATGAACGAGTCGCATTGTGATCCGATTCAATTCTAACGACTTTTTTTTACGACTCGTTAGTTCAAATTTTATGGATCCGTGCTGGCCACGATTCAGTTGAACGAGTCGTGTTGTAGACAATGAATCAATTCTCACGATTCTTTGAACGAACGAACTGTAGAAATGAACGAGTCGCATCGGATCACAATTTAATTCTAAGGACTCTTTTTTAAGACGCGTCCGTTCAAATTTTATGGATCCGTGCTGGCCACGATTCAATTGAACAAACTGTATTGTAAGCAATGAATCAATTCTCACGACTCTTTGAACACACGAACTGTAGAAACGAACGAGTCGCATTGTGATTCGACTCAATTCCTACGATTCTTTTTTACAACTCTCACGATTTATTTTTATTACTCGTTAAAATGAACGACTCGTTCAGTCTTTGCCTAACTCTGTTATAGATAGAACTAAATTGTTTATTTAAGGGGGTGATTCTTGGACCTACTTCAAGAAAAAAACTTCATATGAATGTTCTAAACAGCTTAACTTTTGAAACAGAGCGTGGTGAAATTAAAAAAAATTATAACTTTGATGTTAATGTAGGTATTTTTAAGAAATTTGATACATTTCTTCTATGCCTCAAAATACATTTTTTTACAAAGAAACTTATATTTTTAATTTTTTTTTAAATTTGTACAAAACTTTATTTTGTTTAAACTTGTGTATTATTCATTTAATCTAAAATATTTTCGTTGTTGATTTCAAAACAGCGGATGCTATTGATGCGTTGCTTCAGGAACGAAGAAGTGAGTGATATGTTGAACAATATCAATATCACCAGCTTGAATAGAAATTACACTATTTTTTGTGAACTGAAACTTTTTTTAGCTTAGATATCTATTCTCTCATTGTCTTTCATTTATTCGATTTGTTCTAGAACAAATCTGAAGTTGTCTCTGAAACTGAAATCTGTCAATTCCAAACACTGTGAAGTTAGACAATAGTTGGACAGAAAAACATTGCTGTCCTTGTCTCGGCAGCCATACTTGTCGTCAGGAGAATGACAGGAATGACACTACTGACTGTTTCAATTTTCCTATTTCACTGTCACCCCTGGAGCCTAATTCTCTTGAACTGGAATTTCGAAAAATCCCTTCTTATCGAACCTCTACACCCTAGAATCAACCTGTATGCTAAAATTGAGCTTCTTACGTTGAGTGGTTTGAGCAGGATCGTGATTAATCAGTATGTCAGTCACTTAAGCATTTTATATATTAGTATAGATAAATAAACAATGCTTTATAGTACAAAAAGCCAAAATAGCTTCATCGACAAAACATTTACAAAACCACAAAAAAAATATACAAATAATAAAAAATATACAATACAAATCAATCCAAAAATATTTACGTCATTAAAATTACAAATAAAATTTTACAATAGGAAAATTGTAAATGGATATAATCATGTAAGAGTTATGTCAAATATTAAATACTAGACCTTTAACCAGTGTGTGAGATGATCAAAATTTTAAAATTCAAAATTGTTCATGATTAAGCATCAACAAAAAAGTCGTTTACCGCATATAGCATACATACTCTCTCCAGTAAGTATGATTTCTTCTTCTTCTTCCTGTGCCTTGTGCTTAGCCGCACTTTGGCGATTGTCTGTACTCTTCATACAATGTGTAGACTGCCGTTTTCGGCTCTTCGAAATATGGTGGCTGCGTCGCTGATGTTACACCAATCCCGTATGTTTCTTAGCCAGGAATGTTGTTTTCTTCCTGGGCCTCGCCGTCCCTCTATTTTTCCTTGTGGAATCAGCTTAGGAATGTAATATTTGTCTCTAAGGATATGGCCGAGGCATGAGACTTTCCTTTCTTTAACTATGTTAAACATTTCTCGTTCATAGCCTGCAGTTCTTAAAACTTCTTTGTTGGTTGCATGTGCGGTCCATGGTACACGTAAGAGTTCCGAGAGTCCACATTTGTATCATTTCCGAATTGAGCCTGTGAAATGGCTCCAAAACGAAATAAGTAAATTAGCAACAGATATTCAGGCTGAGATGACAAACGCCATATCCAAACTACTTCCATTTAAATCCCTGAATAATATATGAAAAGGAATACAAACATTTTCAAAATTGGCTAATTCAAAAACATGTTGAGAAGAAATAAAGTTTTTAATTTTTTTTTTTTTTTTTTTTTTGTTTTTTATTTTTTAATCAATTAATTTTTTGTCTTTCAATTTATAATAAGTTTTTAAAGAATTCATTTTTTTATTTAAATTAATGATTAAATAAAAAAATCCGTTGATTTAAATCACGATTTAAATCATTAAAAAATGAACTAAAAACAGATCACAGATCCATTCATCTTCTGATGACAGGTAACGAAATTTGTGTGATTTTTATATTGAGGTTGGAAATTTCTCATACCACCATCGTATTAAACCGAATATTTTTAGAACCACCCACATACTGTCTCAATCTTCACTGTTGTATGTGAATGAATATTATGTCTCGTAATGGTATTTGTGCGTAAATATGGTGTAAAAAATCCTTAAATGCCTTTGTTCTCAATTCAAGATGATTATTACTGAAACTTACGAATATAGCAGTACCAAAATCGGTACAATACAATGCCAAGCTTTCACGTGAAACAATTGAGACCATTAATCCACGAGCTAATTTGCATTGGCTCATTTTTTTGTTATTGAAACATATAATCATGTTTATTTATCTCGTTTATATTTTTTTGCCCCGTTTCTTGTTAAAACTAGGATATGGTATTGCTTTTAATATGTCATTTCGGATAGACTACTAATTTATATTCAAGCTTTCAGTAGTAGTTTCGTGCGTTGTGACCTTGAATATTGCCGAAATAGGTATGAACAAAGTTTACAGTCTGTAAACTTGGGTATGAACGATTGTATAGAATTTTTTGTTGCGAATCTGTTTTTTTTTCGCAGCCTCTTTGTATATAGTTTGTCCATTAAGACTTTACATAATTATTTATAAATAAACTCATATTATAGTACCGTTGAAGGATTGCAGATATTTCTCTTTTTATTTTTAAATTTATCACCAACTAGTAAAGTCAGCCCAACGAGTCATGGAAGATTTCGACATCCAAAAAATTGGTCAAGTGCGAGTCGGACTCGCGCACTAAGGGTTCCGTAAGTCACAATGTACCGTTTGTGTCCAGGAAGGGTTCATAGTTTCATAGATGTCGATTTTCGAAAGAAATCAGAAGATGTATATTATTTCGTATATTTTTCATTTTATTGATTTTATGGAAAGCACTGCTCATTAAAATGTTGTATCCTATGTTATAGGGCTTGTTTCTCTCTACAATTTCCTGTCTCACAATGTACCGTTTGTGTCCAGGAAGGGTTCATATTTTCATAGATGTCGATTTTCGAAAGAAATCGGTACATTTATTTTATTTCGTATATTTTTCATTTTATTGATTTTATGGAAAGCACTGTTCATTAAAATGTTGTATCCTATGTTATAGGGCTTGTTTCTCTCTACAATTTCCTGTCTCACAATGTACCGTTAGTGTCCAGGAAGGGTTCATAGTTTCATAGATGTCGATTTTCAAAAGAAATCAGTAAATGTATATTATTTCGTATATTTTTCATTTTATTGATTTTATGGAAAGCACTGTTCATTAAAATGTTGTATCCTATGGTATAGGGCTTGTTTCTCTCTACAATTTCCTGTCTCACAATGTACCGTTTGTGTCCAGGAAGGGTTCATAGTTTCATAGATGTCGATTTTCGAAAGAAATCAGTACATGTATATTATTTCGTATATTTTTCATTTTATTGATTTTATGGAAAGCACTGTTCATTAAAATGTTGTATCCTATGTTATAGGGCTTGTTTTTCTCTACAATTTCCTGTCTCACAATGTACCGTTTGTGTCCAGGAAGGGTTCATATTTTCATAGTGTATTTTTGTGTTCCAAAGACTTTGTTTTTGTTTTAACTAATTAACGTTAATTTTAATAAAACGTTCTTTGAAAGTAACATTGGTAACATTATTACTTAAATCCCGGGATCCCGAGATTCGGGGTTAAGAATCCCGGGATCCCGACAACATCAAATTGTCCCGAATTGAACCCCCTAGTTCCGTACCATTCATTATCTATACAACATTAGACGCTTATTATTATAAACTTTTTTTCCGATTTAGCTGAAATTTTGAATGCGCGTATAAGTAATTTAAAAAAAATGAAGAAACACATTACTAAAAATTGTATTAATCAATAATAAATATGTAAAAACTAAAAATAAATATGTAAAAATTAAAGAATAACGATTAAAAAAAATCGCCTTGGCTAGGATTCGAACCGACCGCGGTTCCAACGTCATAGCAGCGTAAAGTCCTAACGCTTTAACAACGCCGCCACCGAGGACTTGTAAAATTCTTACTTAAAAGATAATGTTTAGCGAAAGTACTCTTTTATTTATAAACATTTATTTAATTCTGTTTTTAGTATTTGTTCTTATAGCGGCAACATAGATATATTATCTGTAAAAGCTATAACGGTTCATAAGATAGACCTTTGTGACAGACAGACGGACGGACTGCGAAGTAATAGGGTTCCCGTTTTTACCCTTTGGGTACGGAACCCTAAAAATGACGGAAAATACAATTTATCTGCTAATTAAACTAACAGTCATCCTCTCGTGGGACAGACTATAATGACGTTCCTTATTAAAACATAATCAAGTTTGACACAACTTTTGATGATTCTTATATCTCAATTGATATATCATTTGCTAATTATTTTGATTAAAAGCCGGTAAAGTTTTTGTTGTATTAATTTTATTTATAACAGAACTGTTTATGTATGTCGTTATCGCTTTAGCAGCATGTATTGTTGATTACAGTTGTTTAAATATGCATAACTATTAACAACTTAGATAATTATTTACTCACTAGTCAGTTTTATGTCAAGTTTAGGTTATATCTTAAGTTACTTTAATTTTTGTGGTATATTGAATATTACTTTGAATTTTATTAAGGAACGATAATATGTTTATAATGATATAATACAAGGAAAAATCGGTAGTGTAGTATGTAGATTGCAGAAAATATGCATATTAATCAACAATAATTGTCGAAGTAATGTATGTAAAAGTAAAAGGTAAATATAGAATTTGTGCAATTTGATTTATAAGTGGTGCTAGTTTTTTTATTTGAATTTTGTTGGACTAAGAATATGTTTCTTTAATTATGAGTACCTATAGGTCTGTGAAAGCAAAATATTGAAAAAAAAAAGTTATGTCCAGAGATATTGCCTAAATAAAATAAATAATATTCTTAAATCTCTTATAGTATTTTCGACGTGTCATTTGATTTAATTGATCTTGAAGACGATATCAAAGCCTATAATTATTAGGCGACCATACCAATAGGTATGGTAGGCTATTAAGATCGGCAAAAAAAGTTTTTTTTTATTCAATTCAGAGTTATTTGCGTCATAAACTGTCTGTCTGTCTGTCCGTCTGTAAGACGATAACTCAAAAACCGCTAAACCGATTTTAACCAAATTTGGCACAAAAATACTGTGCCACCCGAGAATCTGGCCATTAGTTTTTGATTGGGGTGGGGTGTTGGTAAGGGGGTATGGGAGGGGGTTAAAAATTTAAAAAAATCGTAGCTCCAAAATTACAGTAGCTAGCGAAAGGCGGTTTTCAATTTAAGATTAGGAATAATATTTGCAACAAAATTTGTAATAACATCAAAATCAGTCAAAGTCGCAGTTTTTGAGAAAAAAATGGAAAAATTCCTTTACTTTGAAACTAAAAGAACTGCCTACCAACTTTTTATTAACATATTTTAGTATGGGCGGCTATACGTGCCACCCGGCGCCAATTTTTTTTTTGGAAGTTGAAAATCATTTATCATAAATTCATTCAGAAGATAGTTGCGATTCACGATCTGAGATCGAAAACTTAAAAAATATATTTTTAGGAACCAAAAATCGATTTATTCGATCCATGTAACTCTGAATCAATAACAAATTGAATCGAATGAATTTGTGTTATAAATACAAATTACAATATTATCAAAACATATAGATAGGTTTGAAAATAATACACAATACTTGAGATAAAGTGGCCTTGCACTGTAAGGTCAGTATATCATAGTGATTTATTTATTGATTTTCAATAGATTTGTTAACCTCTGTTTAGTTATCGAATTAACTTTAATACGAACATTTCTTCCGAATGTTGTGATTTTCCTCCTTTTTATAATAATAGTCTTATTAATAATGAGTTATAAAAATCACTTATTGATGTGTTGGTATCTTTATATTCAGCTTGGTATAGAAAAAAATTGCAAAATATTAATGATTAAACTGCCAATAATAGTATTAATTATTATTAATGTATTTGTGTACAGGGTGTTCCATTTTGGTTGAAATCATACGGTATTTCCGTTACTAGTGAAGATAGGAGGAAGCGGTTCTCACAAATCTACTTTTTTGTCGAACGGGAGATGGTTTAAATAAAGTTTTCAATCTTCGTTGCTGAGCTACAGGGTATTTTGAAAATTTTGCATTTTAGAATACCTCTGTATTAGAGGTGGGAATTCTAGTTCCGTGGGAGAACTAGTTCCTTAGTTCTAGTTCCTCCAGTAGTTCTTTGAAGGGCAACGGCCTAGTTTGGTTATATTTTAGGTGTTCTAATGGGAACCGGCGTTTCACGATTCCCATTAGAACACCGAAGTTAAGCGACGTAAAGCGATACTGGTGGATGGACGGGTGACCGGTTCGAAACTCTGTATCGTGCTGTTGTCCAAGGGAAAAGTGTAAAATCTATTGATACACATTATTCACGCCGGTTCGAGGAGAGATGAGATCGGATATCTCGTGAGAAAGAGTTAATTTAGACACTTCCTAAGTCGGTAGGCTACCATGATATGGCCGAGGACCGCGGTTCAGATTCCGCGTAAACAAAGTAGGCCCCGTCTAGATTAGCCCTGACAGCAAAAAGGAGACGTTTGTAGCGTTTTTTAAACAACTACCAATGCGAACGGCAGCTTTTCATCAGAGAGCAGTCGTGGATAAGGTATTTCACTAGAGAGAAAATTAATCAATAATAATAAACAAAAGATATATAGATATTGGGCGCCAGGCATGTACAGAGAAAGAAAACACAGTTGTATAATACTTAAAACTAATGACTATATTTATTCGTGATGAATTCTGATGGTAAATAGCATTGTACAATTAATATAATTATTATAGTGGTTACTTGTTGAGTAAAACTATATATGTAAATAATATTAAATACGTTCTATGAAAAGACTATAAAGAAAATACAATGCGTGTAACGTTATAGAAAATATAGGAAAAGTAGCATTACTTTATTTAAATTGTTAAATTTATACGGTGTTAAATCAGATGTGTTGCAACCTGTAGATTCTAGAATCTATCTCGTTATTCATCTGTTAGTATAGCGTAATAATAATGTCTATAGAAAGTAATACTATTACAATGCGTGATATTATGAAATCTAAAATCTAAATCACACTTTTACTACTGCATCGACATAAATATCCTTAATAATCTAACCACTAAATATAGTCTGTACGCTATTGTTTAAAATGTACGTTACTGTTTAAGACTGAAAACATTTT